CCGCCTCGACGTCACCCAAGAAAGGAAAGCTGCGGCGCGCCGGGCTGCCGGTTTTCGTGTTTGTTTGCTGCCCAACGACTCGCTGTCTGCAAAGATTTACAGCGAAGCCCACGTGCCCCGCGAAGGGGCCGCGCCTCGCACTCAGTGTCTGCGCTCCTGAGCCCGCTCCGCGCCTGGCCGAGCACCCGGCCGGCCCTCGGCGGCCTCGGCCCACTCCTCCCCAGCCCCTTGTCCTCGGCGGGCGCAGTAATGGCTCCTTTGGGCCACAGCTTACACAACCTGCTGGCAACGTTTTAACAAGAGCTGAGTTGGAGAGGTGGGGCCTTGTTTCATACTGAAGCACACACACGGTTAAACACTGACACCAGCTACGTAAACATTTTTATTCATGACGCTGGAAAGCATCACCTGGCAGTGATGTTCTTTTTAAAGATTTATTTCTGCACACAGAACTGGGGTACAGGCCAGAGGTGCAGGAGGTGAGAGGCTTCCCCAGAGACAGAGCGGGGAGCAGAACAGGCCGACTGAGAGGCACACTGGCGAGGGGGCAGCGGGCGGCCAGGGGGTCCGCCGCGCCCTGGGGTCACCCCCGGACGGGGATCGAGCTCGCGCTGCAGCGGCTTTGGCTTCTCAGTGCTGCGCTGTTGGCTGCTGCGCCGCCGGGGAGGGCCCCGGCTTTGATTTTCAAGTGAGTGATTAATCCGCAGCTTGAGAACAATCCACACTTCTGGATGAAGACAGCAAAGTGAACACCTGTACCGAATACTGCCCCTCGTGCCTCAAAATTACAGTGAAGGAAGCTTTTCTAAAACGTGAGTGGTTAGGTGGGAGGCGGGGGGGGGGGCGGCCGAGGCCGGGGCAGGCACCGGCCACCCAGCAGCCCCAGGAGGCCACGGCCCAGGGAGGGGCCATGGAGGCCCGGCGTGGGAGTCACCCGGGGGCCACCTGACCGGCTGAGGAGCCGCAGGACACCAGTACAAGGTGGCCAGCTCCCGTGGGCTCAGGGCGAGGGCCCGGAGTCCCGTGGTGGCCACAGCGCTTCACGTTGGCCCGGGACAGGCCAGCGAGGGAGCCAGCCGTCCTGGTGTCCGCCTGGCGTCCTCCTGTCTCTGTGGCCGGCCTCTGCCGCGGAGACAGCGCCCTTTCCCCCGGCCCCCTGCGCCGGG